GGGCGGAGAAGGCGCGGACCGGCCCAGGGCAGCGCCGGAGCCCGCTGGGCAGCGCCATCTTAGCGAGCCGCCCCGCCCCGTGCGCGCGGAAAAGGGCCTGCCCGGGAAACGGGCCCAGATCGGGCCGGGCAGCCCCGCGTGCCCCAGCCCGCCGCAAGGACCCTTCCCTGGCGGGAGGCAGGCCCCGAGCGCGCCCTGGTGGCGAGACCCCTCGGCGGGAGCGGGTCCCAGCGCGAGGGCAAGCGGAGCAACCCGTGGAGCCCCGGCGGCCGGAGCAGCGAGGCGGGCGAGCCCTTGTTTCCCGGGGAGCCTGTGAGTGAGGCGCAGCCGGCCGGGGTGGGCGGCGGCCATGGCGCAGCCGGCGGGCCCCGTGGCCCGGCACAGCGGGGTCAGCAGGGAGCGCTTTCGGCAGGACATTTACCCGCTGGTGAGACCCTGCCTCGCCCGCGCCCCGGGGTGCCGGAGACCCCCTGCTCGGTGTGGGCGCCGCTCCCGGCCTGCGGCAGCGGCCTGACTTCCCGCTCCGCGCTGGAGGTTGCGGGGCTGCAGCTGCCCAGGTGCTGGGTTCAGCTCCTGGCCACAGGCCGGGTGTCTGGGTCCCCTCAGATCCGGGGGCGGTGGTTGCACCTTCTCCCGGCAGCTCGCCTCTCCCGTCCCGTCATGTCACACAGTTCAGTGCCTCGCGTCTCAGACACCGGCCCCTGCTGCTGTTCTCGGCACCCACTGCAGGTTATCCACTTGTAAAGCCGATCCTGTGCTGCCCCCGACACCCTCCCAAGAGCGAGAGAGACCAGACACTCCGCTCCCTTCAACTTTGTCTAGAATGAGCGTGAGAGATTTAGCTGGTCTGTGGAAATCCAAGTATAGCCAGAGGTTGGAATCCTTTACCCTTCCTCCTTTTCCCGTCCCCGTTACAGCAGCTGTCTGGCTCTTTTGACACAATAAATAATTTTTGATCCAAAATTTTTGGAACTTGAAGCCCAAACTTTGACACCCTTTGATTCTGGGTTTCTTGTTTTAACACAGTCGGACCCCAGAGAAAGAAAACAAGAAATATAACAAAAATCTAAAAATAACCGATTTTTTTTAACAACTGAAAGGAAGAGTGTACAAGTTGCCTTTCTAAATGATTCTTCAAAAATAATGTAAACCAGAATGTGACTTTTATGTAATACCTATTTTTATAATTAAACAAAATAATGAAGATGCATCAGAGACTGTGTGTTGCTTGTGTGGTATGTAAGTTTCTAAAAAGGGTTCTGATATTTTACAAATGCACTTACCTAATGGTATCCATTTGACAAAAAAAAATGGCTTGTGTTTCTAAACAGAGATGGGGAAAGAAGGAGGAGCTGCAGCATAATTAGAAAAAAGGGACATGCTAAGTATTCTTGTTGGTATTATTTAACAATGATGTATGTGGTATTCATATGAAATGTTTTCCTGGTAGTGGGATAAGTGAAAAATACTGGTGAGGGATAGATTCCATTATATGAAGTTGCTGGCATAGATCTTGAGGAACTGGAACAACAGTACATTGCCTGGCTTGGCACAAGAATATTGGGGTGTCTCCCTCACTAGGCTGAAAGAGGCTAAAGCACTGATCCTACATTGAGCTCCATGCAAACAGACCCTGTACAAAGCTCTGTTGTCTTCTTTGGATGCTCAGTTGGGGCACAGGACTTTGTGCACATAGAGCTCAGTGCAGGATCAGGACCCAAGCTGGAGTATGGTATGGAGTAATGTCTTCTTTTAACCTATCCTCACGACAAGCCCAGTTTGCTTAAATGGTTGCATGGCTGTCATCGTGAAAGTACACTGCTCGCTTTTCTGCCAGCTGGAATATGATGCAATGATGAGCTTAGTCCTGGACATCTTGTGTGTCAAAACTCCTACTGAAACAAGTGGGATTCTAATTAGTTAAAATTGGGGTATAGTTTGTGTTTGTTTGTTCTTTGTATGTTTTTGTTTGTTGTTATAGCTACTGATGCAAGCCTGTCTGTTACTCCCTTGGAGTTTGGCTTGAAAATAAAAGGGGATAATTAACCTCATGTGTTCCTCCAGCAAGCATATTACATTAAAACCAGAAACTCATGAGGGCTATGAGCCAGCTCCACTCTGCTTGATCTAAAAAGTTATTACAGAACTGAGTTTGTAAAGACTGCATATATAAAGTAAACAAACTTCTCCAAACCCGCTATTTATAAACCGATTCAGCAAATGAGAGGAAACCGTTTGGGACAGTTCTGTACTAATCTGGTGGTTTGGTTCCTTAGGACTTTACTTTAATTTCACCAGTCTGTTTTTTGTGTGTCTTTGCAGAGAGGCTCAGTGGAGTGAGCATTGGGCTGGGAGCAAGAAATTGCTGGTTTCTAATTTTATTCTGTCCCTGACATCCTATGTGTCTCAGACTCCTATCCTCTCCCTCGTTCAGTTTCCCTGACAGTAAAAGGTGATGATAACACCTATCTCATAGGATTAGTTAAAGATTAGTTAAAGTTTGGGCAGTGCTTTGAAAATATAAAATGTTGTGTGAGTGTGAAGTGTTCTTGTAATTGTCACTGACCCCTTGCTCTCTATGGCCCTGGACCAAAACCAACTGAAGTAAACAAGTCTTTCCACTGATTTTAGTGGAGATTGGATCGTTGTTTACACTCTGCCAGCACAAAGAGGACTTAACATGAGTGGAAACATCCCCTTGCATAGAGGGCATCCCTAGTCAGTGTTAGAACTGGTGTAATATTGCCCCAGCTCCCAATATCTGAGTCAAGGGGGTGGACTAGGGGCATGGCCTAAGTGCACTTCCCTACAGCTGTGCTCTACTAAGCCTTTTGAAGAAGAGCTGAAGTTATATCAGGGCCTTTGCCAAATCCTTCCATGGCCCCAGAATGTGGTGAATGCCAGTGTTGGTTAAAGAACCTTTTCTCTCACTCCATTCCTGCCACAAGCAAAGGAGTATAACAACAGAATCAGGACCGTGATTTCCTGGATTTTGTTTTCACACTCAGTGCACAAACTCATGGAGCCTTCTGGCTAATGTGCAACAGGTGTACATATTCAATGGATTTGTTCTTGTACTGTACTTGATAAATTAGTCCTGAATTTTTTTGTTGGATTCTATCACCAATTCAGTGACAACATGGCATGCCATGCCATAAACCTGCTTTTGTTTTCTTTTCAGAGAAAGCCAGCAGTGCTGAAAGGAATAGACTTGGGCACTTGCACAACCAAATGGACAGTGGATTACCTCAGCCAAACAGCAGGAACTAAAGAAGTAAAGATTCATGTTTCCACAGTGCCACAGATGGACTTCCTCAGTAAGAACTTTGTATATAGGTACTTTATTCCAAGGCTTCCTCTATTTTAAAGGGACATATTGGTAACTTTTAGAAACAGTCTACATTGCTTTGAAGTTTTATACAAAGTATACTCTTCTATGTTGCCTGGATCTGTTGGTGTTACCATTCAGCAAGTTGGTGCTCTCTTGCTTTTTGTAAACTTATTAATGGTAATTACTGTCTCTGTTGCTATTTACTGTATTAACTGATATGTTATAGAGCTTCTGTTTCCAAACAAATGCTTTTGAATTCAGGTACCATTGTCTGAAAGGTGTTTTTTTTTTTTAATTTAAAAGGTAAAGATATTTCAGTACCAGAAGAAATATTTTATCACGGTTTTGTCCTTCAGCTATGGCTTTGGAATTCATGGGTGCGTCATTATTTTCTCTCTCTCTTCTTCCTTTTTTTTTTTGGCCCAGTCCCAGATAGCAATTTTTTAACATGCCTTTATTGTTCATGAAAGATGTCAGAATGATCAAGCCTTAAAAACTTGAGCCTGTATTCACAATGAGGTACAGTATAAGCTGTGGTAAATCAAATTTCCCCACATTCTCCTGTCAATTCACCCCACTCTTAACAGCAGAGAGGAGTTTTAAAAGAGTATTTGGGGGGAACACAATGAGGTGGTTCTGCAGATACTTGTAGGGAGTGCCTCCCATGCATAAGGGGCAGCATGGGAAGAACTGCAAAGATGTTTGTTCGGAAAAATTTAAAAGTGAGTGATGAAGACTGGTCATTTGTAGAATGAATGTAGGAGTCAATGTCTCGATACTGCATAAGAGTTAATAAGTTGCACAGGGATAGACTGTGAAGGGCCTAAAAATGAAGATAAGTAGTCTGTTTCTGAAGTAGTGAAGATGAAGGAGTTATGGAGGAATCCAAAGAGAGGGGTTTGAGAGAAACTCTCAGTTTGTGACTTGCAGTCTGCTGCAACAAGAAGTTTAAACTAGGCATGTCATTCTGATTCTCTGATACCTTTTCAGTATTGACGATTATATTGTTAGAAGCTAGCGCTGCTCAGTACCTGAACTGCTTTGAATGCTGTTATGTTACAAGAAGAACAGGAGTACTTGTGGCACTTTAGAGACTAACAAATTTATTAGAGCATAAGCTTTCGTGGACTACAGCCCATTTCTTCGGAT